GTCCCACGGGGGCGAAGGCTCTACCTCAGGGTGATGGGGGAATGAGGGGTCCCGGTCCAGGCTGCGTGGCACGGGGTAACTCACCTCCCCTCTCTGGGTTTTGGCGAGCAGAGCTCACTGAATGGAAGGGCAGAGATCAACTCAGAGGTGGCTGGAACTCTTTCTCCTTCAGGAAAGAGTTCTTATCCCAATGACTCCCATGTGACATAAACTTAGGAACCCTCGCTCCCTTTAAAAACATGACCCCAAATTTAAGGGTCAATTTACGGTGAGGTTCAAATTACACCGGTTTGCCCGTGCCTTTGGGGGAAATTCGCAGACTCGCCAGGACTAGGGATTGCATCCCTCCCAACCCTAACCCAGAGGGGTGATCACAGTAGGCGGCAGGAAGGGACTTCCTTAGGGGTCTGGAGTGGCTGGGTTCTTGCATGGGTTCTGAAAAATTCAGGCCAAATAACCCATTCTGGGTCCTGGTCCCACTGGGGGCCTGAATTATAGGTCCAGTCTCTCTGGTGCAAGAAGGACTCAACCAGTGAAGCATGGAGGGCTCTGCTCTCCACCTGGTGCTCTCCTGAGCTGGGACCCTGGGCCCCGACGTCCTGCACAAGGGGCAGCCCTCAGGGCAGGGTTCCTAACACCTCCAGGAAGGGGCTGATGAATCCTGGAACCTGGGCTGGTGGCCTCCAACTCCTCCAGTAGGTAGTCGGGGAGATTCCTTCTGAGTCCCTCCCTTCAGACCAGCGGGGGTCCGGGAGCCCACATGGGGGCGCTGCAGCTGCCCTCCGCCCCCCCCCCCCACCCGACCCCGCACCGTGGGGAGGGTAAGGGAGAGTGTGTTGGAATCTCCAGCCTCTTCCCTCCTTTCCTTCTTTCTCCTCGCTCCCTCCCCCTCCCCCTCCGCTCCGGCACAAAAGCTCTCTGTACACTGCCACTTCCTCTGGCTGCTGTCTTTGAGCCCAGACCTTATGAGAACCATATGGGGGAAAGAGGGTGGAAGGGAAGGGGGTGGGGAGGCCGCGCGGCCCGCCCCTCCAGCCACCATCTCCCTCCGCTCGCGCTCTGTGCAGGCGGTTGGCACACTTTGCCCCAAACTCCCCCTAAGCGGACCCCGGGGGCTGGGATGTGGGGCACTGAGGGGTGGGCCCAGTCCAGAGCTGGAGGTCCAGAGGGACGTCTGTGCTCAAGAACTTCTGGGCCAAGCACGGGGGATGGGGGGGGCGGGGAGGGGCCCCCCCCTCCCGCCCCTCCCCTCCCCCTCCCCCGGGGCTCCCAAAGACCACCAAACTCCCAGCAAAGGTCCCCGGCCTCCGCTAGGCACATCTGTGTGGAAACTGCCCCTTCTCCCCTATGGGGGCAGCCTACGTGGTGGGCAGCTCCCCCAGATGGGAGGCTGAGGGGATGAGGGTTTGCGGGCCCTGGGAGAATCTGGACCGAGGGACCGTCCCATGCCCGCCCCTCTCCCCACCCAGCCTTGGAATGTTCCCAGGTCAAAAGGGCCTGGGTCCTGCTGGGAAGGAACCGGGTTTTTTTTAAAGCAGGCTTTGTGTCCATTGGGTCCCAAGTCCAGCTAGGTGAACAGTGAGTCTCTCACCTGAGAGGAAAACTAAACGAACCCAACCAGCTAATCCTGACGCTGGCGTCAGCTAAGCTGTGTGACTCTTGGCAACACATGGCCCTCTCCCCATCTGGCCTCAGTTTGCTCAGCTGTCAGACGCTGATTTAGGGGCGTCTCTAAGGCCCCTTTCGGCCCAGGGGCCCAGGAATTTATGACACTGCCTGGTATCCTCCAGAGGGCCTGCTCAGATGTCCTGGGAGGTCCTCATAGGAGGTTTCCTTCTAGAGTTATCCATTATCAGTCCTTTACTGGAATTCCTTAGTATCCCCCTCACTCGAACTCCCAGAGCCCAGAACCAGAGGGCAGGCCCATCAGCTGCTGCCAGGGCGGGCGGGGGGTTGGGGTCGTTGACAGTGGTCTGCGTCTCCCTCCTCCAGCCGGGTTCTCCCTGTGCTAAGCCACCTCCACCCCGCTGCCCATGAGACCCTGCCCCTCAGGGAAGGCCCATAAAGGCTCCTGCTCTGGACAGGACGTGCCCACAGCTGCCCTATGCACTGGGCCTTGAGAATGGGGGCTGGGGTGGGGCAGGCGGATCAGGAAGGAAGCCAAGAGTTCAGCTTTCCTGGAAAACCGCGAATGAAAATCCATTAGAGGAAAGAAAAAAAAAAAAAAAAAGCCAAGCGTGGGGAGAGGGGGCCTGCAGTCTACAAAACCAGAGGGCAGAAGCTGAGATAACCGAGTGGAGGTGGAAGGGTTTTCCGTGAGGTGCACAGGGCTGTCGACAGGATTGCCCTCAAGGGCTTGGAGGCTTTCTGAGCAGAGACGGAGGCTCTCTGCAGACAGGCACCTTATCTAGCACTTTCCCTGCCTGAACAGTCAGCCGGGCTTCCCAAAGCAGAGGCCTGACTCTCCCCCTACTCCCCCAGGACCCACGTGGGCAGGGCGGTGTGTGGAGGGGACTGGGAGATGGTGGTCCATTCTGGAGGAAAACAGGGGAGGCGGAGGGAGGGGAAAGCAATAACGCAAAGACTATTGGCCCAAGTCCTGTTGTTTGCACCAGGTGATGGGCAGAAAGGGGAAAGGTGACATTTGGAAAAAGAATAAATAAATAAACGAGGAAGGAGGGGGGGTGTGGGAGAGTGTGAAGGTTTTTGTGCTCATAGCCTCTCTTTGCTGCCAGGCTGGAGCGGCAGAAGCCCCTTCCCAGCCCGTCGTTTCCCTTCCCCTCGAGATGCTTGCTGGGTAGGGGTGGGTTTGCTGGGGGACCTGAGCCCCCAGAAGAGAATCCCTGCGAAGCCTCTGCTGAAGAACTTGCGCTCTTTCTCCTTCAGAAGCCAGCTTGGGGGAGGGGCTGCAGTCAGGATGGGGATTCGGTGGAGCCTGTGGGGGGTGCCTAAGGCTTAGGTCTGTGGCTGCTTTTAGTCACACCCCCGGCTGATGGGCCAGCGGGCTCTCGGGGGTTGCTCCGGCCTGCCCTGCCCTGCCTGTTGTTCCTGCGGAGATGTCCAGCCAGGCTCGGGCGGGGGGTGGAGGGGGCTGTTCTTTTGGAAGGTATCTTAAGCCAGGTAGGTCAGTGGCCTGGGACAAAAGAAGGGTCCTTCCTCTGGGGATGGTTTGGGATGGGAAGGTGAGCTAGCAGTCCTGCTGGCTGCCACCCTGTCCTGTTATATATTCTCGCCAAGAGTTGGCCCCGCTCTCTCCCTGGAGTGGCGTCGATGGGAATTAGCCGTGGCTGGAAAGCATTAGTTACCAAATCATTCTAAAATGTACTGCAAAACCACCTTTTAATGTTTCCCCCCCTTCTTTCTGCCGTCAGTATGTTAGGATTCCCTAACCCCAGCACAGGAGTGTGAGCTCTGCTGCAGGATCCAGGGCACACACGCTCCTCTCAGAACTGAATGACTGTGGCCCAGCGGGGACTCACACAGACACCAGCCCAGCCATCCCACACAGCAGGCATTTTTCTCCTCCAGAACTGAGTGGGCTGGGGAATGCCCAGGCCTGTCTGGACACTTCAACCCCAGTGGACACTCAGAGGGACCTGAATCAGCTGCCACAGCTGCCTTCCCAGGCCATGGCTGTATCCCTGAGCTGCTGGGACGTGGGAGAGAGCAGAGACACGGCTTCCACCCACCCCCCCAACAATGCACACATGCACACACCCACCCCAGCTGGGGAAAATGCAGGCCAGGCGGACAACGTCAGAGGCTGACCAGTCGTGTCCTGTCAGGAAGCGGGCAGCCTCTGAACTCACCCAACCAGAGGCGTTACTGTATTGTTCTGGACACAATCGGATAGACTGTGAGCCAGCTCCAACTCTGGGCAAGGGGCCGTGGGGAAACGTTCGCCGCTGGGGTCAGGAGGACAGGGAAGGGGAAGCGGCTTGGAGGCTGGATCCAGGACAGGAAAGGAAGGGGCTGCCGCCAGGGCCCGACCCTCCAGTCCACAGCGTGCGTGGAGCTCCAAGCACGTGGTCTGCGCAGGAAATCTCTGCGGTGGGGAGGGGTCGCTAGTTCTCCTGCAGTCGCGGGGACTTCGGACCCCCATCGAGGAGGCTTGGGGTCGGGTTGCGGGCGCAACAGGCCGCGGTGGTTGCCAGCAAAGTGAGGGCTTAATAAGGCCCGGGCTTGAGGAGGGAAAGGGTATGACGGAAGGAGGCTGGGAGGCAGCCTCCTTCCCCTCGGCCAGGTTTCTTTCTCCGCACTCTTCGCGAAGAAGTCAGTGGAGAAACAGCCAAAGTTCGTCTTTAAATCCGAGGAGGGGAGGAAGAGGGAGGGCGGCAGGATGCAGAGCAGAGCTCAATTCACAGATGCGCACGGCGGGAGAGGGGTCCTAGTGGGAATCGGGACGCCGGGGTCTCATTCACACCAGAAGTGCCTGCACCCCAAGGACAGACTTTTTCGAGCCCACCCTAGAGACAGGCTGCAAGCGGGGCTGGCAGGCTCCCGGCCCCGATGGGGCGCCCCCAACTGGAGGAGCCAGGCCGGCGGGATGAAGCCGGGAGACTCCTCCAGTGCGGCCAGGGACGCGTCCGCGGTGGTAACGACCACAGCCATCTACTGGGCCGCGGGCGTCGGTCTTCCCTGAGCCTTCGCCCCATCCCACCCGCCGCAGGTCCGCAACACCAGCCCTGGCTAGAAACTCAAGGGGCGTGGGCTTCCCGCCAGCGCGCATTCCCTGTCACCTGTGCAGGTGAGTGGGCGCCCGCGGTGCCTCACTTTGGGGCGCCCCCGCCCCCCAATGCTCCTTCCTCCCTCCACACCCCTGGAGCCCTAATCTTTCCCTTACTTCTCTTCAAGCCTCCCTTTTCGGCTTCTGGACTCGGGCCTGTCCTTGAGTCTGAAGTGGCACATCGACTCTGTCCCCCATTTCCCACCCCTCCCGTCTGGTCTCCTTTCGTCCCCTCGTTGGGGCTCGAGCCGGGCCGGCCAAGTAGTATACTTACAGGGTAACGGTGCTGTTAGGCAGAAGGCCGGGCTCGGGAGGCTCCGGGAGGTCCCCGCCGCCGCACACCACCCTCCTGCGCGCCGGGCTGGGGGCGCCGCCGCTTAGCCCCTTGGGCCGCTCCCCTGAGCACTTGCAGCTGCGGATAGGGACCGGGCAGCCGGGCGCGCCACGGATCTCGGGCGCCAAAAGCAGCAGCCACTGCAGCAGCGGCAGCAGGCGCGCGGGCGCCCACCGCATCCTGCGTCCCGCGGCGCCCATCAGCCCATCGCCCCGCGGGGACCGACAGCGCTGGGGCCCGTCTGCGCGCCGGCCGGAGGGATCCGGGCGTGCGAGAGGCGTGCTCAGCGGGGGCCCGGGGCGCTCGAGGGCGGAGCGGGGGGCCCTGGGCGGAGGCAAGCCCCGGGGTCCCCGCCGCCGCGCCCCGGGGGCATGTCCGGCGAGCGCCCCGGCGGGGAGGACGCGGGCGCGGCTGTCAGCGCAGCGCTGGCGGGCCCCGGCGGCGCGGCCCGACTGTCTGCGTGGTGCTCCCGGGCCGGTTGAGGCCGGGCCGCTCCTCGTCGTCTGCTCGCTCTGCGCGGGGCTGTGACCTAGCGGATCGAGCCGGGCTCCTGCCGCCGCCGCCGCTCCGTGCCATGGATGGAGGCAACTCGGCTAGGCGCCGCTCCCGCCGCCGCCAGCCGCCGCCCGCCCTCCCGAGAGGGCGCCCTCCCCTCTCCAGCTCGTCCGTCCGCGAGGCCCTAGCGCCTCCCGATGCGCAGCCAGGCCGCTGCCCTCCTCGGAGTAAGAGCGGGCCAGCCGGCTGGAGGCCCCGCGTGTCCCCTGCACCCGCCCTCACGCCTCTCTCCCCCCACCCAGGAATCTTCCTCTCCATAACCCACCTCAGACCTCAAGGCCAACCGCCATCACTTTCCACAAAACCCTCCCTCACTCGTGCCGTCCAGCCTGCACCTCCCGATGCTTCTGGGGCTTTCATTGACCCGTGGGCTTGGCCAGAGATGCCCATGTTTTGTATTGAACTTCATTCACCGCTCTGAGGCTGCTGAGACTTGGCTTCCCTTGACCCCCTGACCTGATGGGCCAGTCTGGAAGCCGGGGCTCACTCTCACAGCCCTGCTCCAGCCCCTGCAGGAGACAAGGCGGAGGCTAAGGAGGCTCAGACCCTCTGGGTGACCTCGCCCAGCGGGGGGTGCATGTCACTCGGCCAAGGAGGGGTCAAAGGCCGAGGCAGGCCTTCCAGATCTGGCTGCCTACCTTTTCCACATCCGTGTGTGTGTGTGTGTGTGTGTGTGTGTGTGTGTGTGTGTGTTTGATGGTAGGTGGGAATGAGGGGAACACAGAGGGAAAAGCAGGGATTCCCGCTGGGTGTGGAAGGAGCACAGCGCTGAGTCAGGAGGGCCCGTTCTCGGCAGCGCTGACAAAGGACACAGCCCTTAACATCCTGGGGTAGCTAATCTCGGGGGTCAAAATGAGGCCCTGCCTGCCTGCAAGTTGTGGCCTGAGAATGAGTGAGTGATGGGGGGCACTCGGATGGGGATGAAAACTCTCTTGGGTCTTAGATGGGCTGCAATGCAAGTTGGGAACCGGGCTGGGGACAGAGGGAACAGTGAAGTGTGGCCCAGTGTATCTGCTTCCCCAGTTTGCCCATGAAGGCGGCCTTTTCTGCCACTTAATGCCACAGCACGTTTGCTGTGGAGACGCAGGCTGCCCGGGTTGAGGGATCCCTGGGCAGGGCTCTTGTTCCCCATCCTTCACTGGGCCACCAAAGTCGTCCCTCCGGTGACTGCCACCTTCTTTCTGTGCCTTTGGCCCTGCTGGTGTGTGTGGCACCTTTTCCAGCACGGTGGCCTTTCAGCCGGGTCCCCACCCCCCTTTTCTGGGAATGCTTCTTTCCCTTGCGTGGGCGGCAGACACTGAGCCCAGACGCTGGCTTCTCCTGGCTCCACAAGTCTCTCCCAGTTGCAGGCTCTGGTTCCTTCAATTTTCAAAGATAAATAAATAGTGATTGCAAATGGAAGAAGGAAGAAAGGGCCCGGCCTCCCCCAGCAGCAGCCCTCCTCAGGGCGGGCACAGGGGCTGCGCCTGCATTCCTAGGAAGGGCCCTCACAGAGCTGCGGCCCACAGGCCAGTCTGCCACCCAACCATCCTGTTCACAGGCCAGGGAAGTTCTCAAAGACAAGAGAAGAGGAGGCCTCTGGCCTGGGTCACACAGCTTCCCCGTCACTTCTTTTTTGCTAAACGAAGACACTCTAAGTACGGAAAGGAATTCCACTGAAACACCGGCGCTCTGAGGCTGAATCAAGGCCAAATGACGTTTAATGAGGCAATGCTTCCCCACAGGTGGGAATGAGGTGCGTGGTGGAGACATTTACAAAACCCTGTCCTGTCCTGCTGGTCGTCACTTTTGGTCTCTATACCCATCCAGGAAGGTGAGTGGAGCAGGGGTTACTTCCGCATTTTACAAACGTGGATGAGGAAACCAAATCGCTGAGAGATAAAGAGACAGGGCTGGGAACTTTTCCTCCAATTCCTTTTAAAATGCTCTTTTGTCTGAGCCACTCAAAACTTTTCGCATAAAAATCCTTCTTGGTTATCTGTTCTCAGAGGTGCAGGGTGGAATGAATGAGTGGTTACACGTTTTGAAGTTTGTTTGCAATAGAAGGATGACTCAGGCTTAATTCCCACCCTCACGACATCTGGTTAGGAAGCTTGACCCTGGCCCTGATCGAGTGTGATATACTCTTCAGTTGAATTATGGATAAGGTACCACGATATAGGGATGGGCTGAATTAATCCTGCCTGAAGCAAGGGAGGGGGGCTTACCAAAAGCTTTAGTCCAGTCTCGCACAGAAGTGTAACTGACCTGACTCTACTAGACCATAATTGTCCCCTTAAGGGCCTGGGAGGCCTCACATCCGTTATGCTGTCTCTAAAGAAGTTGGCCTTTGCTGGGTGCTAGCTGCCAACGTCTGTCTCGCTTCCAACTTCAAAGCTGATCCATTCCCCTTTGTCAAGGAGTGGCTGCGGCCTCTTACCCCACGATTGACCAGACCCTCCGCTGGGGACAGCTGAGAGTGGAAAATGGGGCCACGGTTGGTGTCCCCTCCCTCTGATCCCAGAGCAGAGCAGAGTCAGCACAGGACAGCCTGCACATCAGGACAGCTAGCATCTACTGAGCGCTTGTTGCCTGCTGGGCACTTGTGACTATGTTTTACAAGAATTAGCTCATTTTGTCCTCACAACAGGGTGAGGATGGCTGTTTTAACAGACAAGAGGGAAAGAAGCACCTTAAGAGTAATTTGCCCAAGGATACACAGCTCAGAAGTGATGCAACCAGGATTTGAACCAGGAACTCCGGATTCCAGAGTCCGGTTAAAGAGGCACCTTAAGAGTAATTTGCCCAAGGATACACAGCTCAGAAGTGATGCAACCAGGATTTGAACCAGGAACTCCGGATTCCAGAGTCCGGTTTTAACTGCCGTGCTCTATAATTTCTAGGGGAGGAGGGGACTCTCAATAATCACCCCAAGAAATTCCCTCACTTCCCCTTGAGGTTTTCTCATTTTGATTCCCTGGCCCTCTCTGAGCTGAACCTTTACAGACGTCCACCTACAAACCATAGCAGGTGGTAGAAACAGGACCCCCAGCCCTAATTCTTCTAGCAGAGTCAAGGAAGGCAAAAGCTTTCCAAGGAGTTCCATTCCTCGGCTACAGAAGAAAATAGTCTCTCTCGAAAGACTATGAGAGACTATAAACACGTATAGAATCAGAGCCGGCAGAAGTTAACACCGCCCAGCTCCAGGCCCTGGTCTCTTCTCCTGGCTGTCAGGGTGCCCCCCATCCCGGGAATGTTCACATTTAATTATCAGGTTTCCCGGCTCCCTCTGTGCCTTCTCATCTTCCAGAGGCAGGATCCTAACACAGACCCAGGGTAACAGTGGATGAGCTCATGACCCATAATTGGATCGATCATGCAAACGTGACAGCCCTCCAGAGCTCTTTTACATTAGAAGGACACGGAGGCACAGAACCTGCGAACCCCACCCCTTTCTCCCACCTCCCCCCACCCCCATGGCTCTCCTGGGCGGTCCTCTGAGCTCTCTGTCCTCTCCTCCCTGTGGGGACTATGCTAAGCTGCCTGTCCTGTTGGAACAGTCACACTGGGCGCTCAGGGCAGAGAAATGCTCATACCTCAACCGGAAGGAATGAATAGGAATTGTGGGAAGCTACCGAGAAAAATATTGGGGCCTGCAAGGGCTTCCCTTTGGAGATCAGACTCCACCCCATACAGGGTACCTGTGTATACTTTAGCCGCTCTCATAGGAGGGCGTTATAATCTCTGTCTCCATGAAAATGTGACTTCCCCTTTAAGTGACATCTGCTCATATTCGCCCAGATGATGGATAACCTCCTGCACTAGGAGTGCCGTGCCTAAGAGCATGAGACTCTGAAGTTTCAAATCCTGGGCTCTCCATTTTACGGACCACGTAACTCTGGGCAGCTCACTTAATTTACCCAGGCCTCAGTTTTCTCATCTGTGAAATGGGGATTAAAAAAAGAATATTTACTTCAGAGGACTGTGATGATGATGTCAGTTATACGTCAACGGTGCCTGTGTGGTATACTGTAAAAAGACATTTGGTCTTTGTTCCTGACCCCCAGCTCCTAAAACCCTCTGCAATTCCTGAATGACAGGAGTATCTTCTGTTCTTCATCTGGAGCCTCTCTGGGACACACCGGAGTTTCTGCTCATGAGGGTGGTACTCTTAGCCTCAGGATGGGGGCTGGTCACCAGAAAGACCTAGTGATACCAGGGTTGGCAGTCTCAGCCCCACCCACTGGCCTCTGGGAACAGGATGGGGTACCTGGAGATTCAACTTTATAAAAACTCTTGAACACTGAGATTCAGAGAGCTTCTGGGGTGCTGAACAGTCACAGTGCTGGAACGGTGGCACGCCCAGGATGGGCACGGACGCTCCACGCCCCTTCTCCCCATAGCCTGTCCTATGCATCACTTCCATTTGGCTGTTCCTTAGTTGTATCCTTTATAATGAACCAGCAAATGTGAGTAAAGTGTTTTCCTGAGTTCTGTGAACCGTCCTAGCAAATTATCGAACTTGAAGAGGGGGTCATGGAAATCTCTGATTTAAAGCCAGGAGGGTGACCCCAGACTCGTAAATGGCATCTGAAGTGGAGGCAGTCTTGTGGGACTGAGCCCTTAGCTTGCGTGGTCTGTGCCGAGCAGTCGGTGTCAAAATCAAATTAAATTATAGGACACCGAGTAGGTGCTGGAGAATTGGAGAGTGGATTGGAGTCAGAAAACACTCCAGCCTGACACATTCACATACTCAGTAAATGTTAGTAGGGCCTGCTGCTGTTTTTGTTATTGATACCTGCTTAGTTTTGTCCTGTGTTATAGCTCACTGTTTACATATTTGAGTCTTCCACTAGGATGGAAGATCCCAGAAGAGGCTATTATTTTCCTTATTTCTATGATTCCCAGCCAGTTTTAGTGCCCAACAAATAGAAGAGACATTTAATTAATTTGTTCAGCAAAGTGTTCCTGAGATCTTACTTATTTAAACAACATTTATTGGGCATCT